GACATTACAATTTATAACTAAAAGCAATAGGTGTTTTATAGGTAATTTTGATAATAATAGCTTGAAATATTCACATTATAAATATATACTTTTGCATTTCTGAAAAGTATTTGCTAGGTTAATAATTTTACACAGTTTAGATTACCGTTTTTTTTGTTTGTTTATTTTTAGCGCAAAGCTACGCAATAGATTATTTTTCAATGAATCTACCACGACATATCGAACGTAAATTTACCGCTGACCCACAGAGGGGCTGAAATTATTAAACACTTTCTTACGTAAATAGCCTATATCCGATATTTTAAACATATTTACTTTTGTTGATATTAAGCACAAAACTACTCAATGGGCCATCTGAGCTCAGCCTACTGCGGGTATTGAAATCGAGTTTTTAACGTTATAAGCCATTAATATTACCATTGACTCGCTTAAGAGTGCACTCAAAACTAAACGGAACAGTATATTTTATAGTTCAATCATTGGTAATTGAATTGATAAGTAACAGGTGAAACGTTCATGTTTCATCTATATGTTGAAACAAAGTTTTGAAAATGTGGTATTTACATACATATTTATTTTTTATATTAAACATCCAAGATCTTGAAATTAAATATATCAGATAGTCATTAAAGAACATAGTACATATAGGGGCTTCATAATCGATTTGGCATTAAGATTAAAGGCAAAATTGTGATGGTATGACTTTGAAATATTTTCTTACTATATCATAATTTTTTATATCTTCTTATACTTCTTTTTTTTTCAAACTGTAGGTATGAGTATGCTGTATTTAAGTGTTCTTTTGATAACCTGGGTTACTGTGATCGCAGTTCAGGACCAGACGTCAACAAATGGGATTCAGAAAGTTGCAAGAGCCAGTAACAACTTTGCAATGGATTTGTTTCAACAACTACCGAAGGATGAAAACCTTTTTATCTCACCTTTCAGCATCTCAACGGCAATGGGTATGGTGTATCTCGGAGCCAGAGAAGAGACAGCACGAGAACTAGAAGCTACTCTTGGGTATCAGGAGGAACAGCTGCTTAACGAAGAAGTTCACCAAGCTTTTCAGAGCACTCTTAACCAAATAGAAGGGTCTCAAGATCAGTACAAACTGATTGCAGCTAATTTAATGGTTAATCATATTGATTACTCTGTACTGGACTCTTACAAAACACAGTTACAGGAGAAATACAAAGCCGAAATAAGAGAAGCCGATTTTGTAAAGGAAAGTGAGAAAGCTACCCAGGAAATTAACGAATGGGTGGATCAAAAAACGCAGCATAAAATCGCTAAACTTTTCGATAAACCTTTGAGCTCTGATACGATACTTGTTTTACTGAACGCAGTTTACTTCAAGGGTACCTGGCTTTACAAGTTTAATTCAAGAAATACATTAAGTGGAACTTTCTATAATAAAGGCACGGATGGGAAGGATATTTTGTTTATGCACTTAACACGTAACTTCAATTTTGCAGAAGTAGCGATCTCCAAGCAAGAATGATTGAACTGCCTTACAAAGGAAAAGACATTAGCATGTTTGCCATTCTTCCTGACCATAGGGACGGTCTTGCTGTTCTGGAAAGTCAACTGAATTCTGATAAATTAACAAAGATAATTGGACAAATGAGAGAAACCAGAGTTAGAGTTGGTTTACCCAAATTTAACTTAACATACGAAAAAGAATTATCTCCTTCCTTGCAGTCACTTGGATTGACCAAATTGTTTAAATCAGGACAATCAGATTTATCGGGTATCAGCAGTAAGAATGGTCTGTCTGTTTCTGAAATTAAACATAAAGCAGTTATTGAGGTAAACGAGGAAGGAAGCGAAGCAGCTGCTGTAACTGGAGCTGTTATTGGTGGTAGTGCTTCCTTAGGTCCAACCTTTTATGCTGATCATCCATTCCTTTTTATCATCAGAGACAACAGATCTGGCATGATTCTCTTCTTGGGACGCGTCAACGAGTTTTAGAATAGTTTCTATAAAGTGACGATTAAGATGATGTAGTAGAATGAAAACTAAGCATATGACGAGATATGGTGCAAAATATGAAAATACATATATAATTTAGTACATTACACTAATCAACACTAAACTAAACACATTTATATACTGATATGATCTGTTTTATCACTAATTAATACATATAAAATTAAAATTAATTATCCCGATTCGTAATATCTTTTATTTGTAATTTATTTTTTCTTTAAAAACAATGATGTGCCATCTAACGGTCAACAAATTTCTTATATTATTTTCTATAATCTCCAAGATGAGTGAAACACCATCATAATGTAATGACTGTGTTTATATATTGAAATGTCGCAAATTTTGAAAGAAATTGACTTGTTTAAACCGTTACTAACTTCAGCTAATTATTTTACTAGTTTTAACATAAGTTAGTCGTTTTAGATTTTAAAGACATAATTTTCATGTTCAGAAAGAAAGTTATAAAAAATTATTTTTACACACTTAAGCGTGAAAGTCTGAATATATATATATATATCATTTTATCTAAATTGCGAGTAAAGATTCAATAGCTCTTTGCTGATTGTTTCATCATGGCTTCGTTTAAATGATTAGAAGCGTCTTCTTCACATGTAGCATAATCTCGTTTTATGTTTTATCGATTTCTTTGAACATACTGGGGGTTTGAACCACATCACATTCAATTTGCGTTAAGACCTTTATTAAAAATTCAAACGTCGATTTTGGCTTTGTTAAGTATTTTCAATATGAAGTCTATAACAAGTTAGTTATACGTTTTTTCACGTTTGTTTTATCATAACATAGTACATGAAAATAATTAAGATAAATGTAATTTTACGAGTAAAAGTTTAATAGCTGATTGTTTAATCTAGGCTTCATTCGAAGGAATAGAAGCATCTCCTTCACCCGTAACATAGTCTCATTTCTGGCTTTACCGATTACTTTGAAGATACTGGGGTTGGAACCACGTCACATTCACTAGTGTATCCCGAACAATATTTGAACCTAGGAATACGGTGTGCCTTCTAAACGACCTCCATGTCTTCTAACAGTCGATCTGACGTAAGATTCTCCACACGTTAGGTAGCCAAATTAATAAATAGCACGTGACTGTTGAGAAAACTGAATATGATCTTTAAACCTGAAAAAAAAAAAGGGTTGCGATCACATAGTACAAAAATGTGGATTAAGTTATAAGGTAAACCTTTAGAAAACATAGCTTGCAAGTTACCATGGTGCTCTCACAAATCATTTCGTGTAAACTTGTGAACGGTAGAGAACTAGGTAGCTTTGGTTGCTTTCTCTCATTCTGGTAGTGGCGTGTAATTTGTAAATACAGAGTAGCTCAAATATAATCAAGACTGCTTGAGATGATTACGTAAAAAACAACAGAATGAAATTCGCTTGTCGTTTCGTTAGTATTATTTATCGAAATCAACCGACCAATATTGTTCCTGTTTATTAAACCAATCCAAATTCAAACAAAATAATCAGGTTGACAAGTATTAATGAAAGCCTTTAGTGTCGATCTTTTGAGAAACGGATGCTGTCATTTGTTACTTTTGTAACTCTAAACTTTAAGACTTTCTGATT